AGGGGCTTGGAGACAGATGCACAGTAACCACAGACCCCAGCAAGTTCCAGAATATGAGAATACTTCACCAGTAGACTCCACTTTTGTGCTGGTTCATGGAGGTTTATTATGCTTAAGGCAAAACAACAGCCTTGTGCAAGTGTCCCCATCACACGCCTGAGTATTACCTCACCTTCTTGCATTTTCCTCCCACTCCCCACCCCAGATCAGCAGTCTTCCAAGTGCAGCCTTTTATTTTAGGGTACTTTAGCAGTTTTTCATGACAGTACACATTTTCTGCTAGACTCCTCCTAGATTCCTTACCACTGAGGCATAAGGATTAACAGTTGTAACCTAAAAGCTCTTCCTTTTCTGTTTTGGAAACGTTTCTCTAAGGCATAGACAATGTTATTCACAAATCCTTAAGGCAAACACGGCACTACAGCCGTATCATTTTCTCTCTGTATTAAAAATTGGTGCCAACAAAAACCAAACTTCCTCCTTTTTCAAAGCATGACTCACATTTTCCACTCTGTTTTGACTGACATAAGAGATCTATTTCAGTCATATGACAATAACTTGAAATCTGACCAGCATTGATGTGGAAATCAACGCCTGTTCTTGCAGGATGGAAGGATGTTAATGGGAATGGTGTTTTATGTAACTCCACTAGAGATCTGCCTGCTTTTCCTGAATAACTTGCTCTCAGCCAAAGCCCAGGGTGCCACCTCGTGGCTGCCCTGTGCCAAGGGCCACTCGGAGTTGATCACTTAACAGCCTTCTTTCCCGACAAGAATCCAGACCATCAAAAAGCCACATCCGTGTACCAGTACCCTTGCTGATGTCTTGTCAGACGCCGAATTAAACCAAGCAATTCATCCAGCAGGTCAAACCAGGGACAAGCAGTGAAGATGTTGGAGCGAGTCTGGAGGAGGGCCATGAAGATGGTTAGAGGACAGGAGTGGCTCTGCTTTGGAGCCAGGCTGAGAGAGCTGGGCTTGTTCAGCCTGGAGAAGAGAAGGCTTCTTAAGGGGAGACCTTAGAGCAGCTCCAGTGCCTAAATGGGACCAACAAGAAAGCTGGAGAGGGGATTTTTACAAGGGTCTGTAGGGACAAGACAAGGGGAATGGCTTGAACCTGCCCTAGGGGAGACTGAGCTGAGCTCTTAGGCAGAAGCTCTTCCCTGTGAGGGTGCTGAGGTGCTGGCACAGGGTGACCAGAGAAGCTGTGGCTGCCCCATCCCTGGCAGTGTTCAAGGCCAGGTTGGACACAGGGGCTTGGATCAAGCTGCTCCAGTGGAAGGGGTCCCTGCCCGTGGCAGGGGGTTGGAACTCATGAGCTTTAAGCTCCCTTCTAACCCAAGCCGTTCTAGGATTCTATAAAGTGCGTATTACTCAGAAGAAATGTCACCAAACTGGAATGGAGTTTACAGGATAAAAAATTAGGCAGCAAGAATGTAATTGTTGGGACATGACAGGCTTGGAGAACCACTGCCAAGTAAAAAGAGAGGTTATCTGGAAAGACAAGTTAGAAACGCTCAACCTTCCACTTGTTTTCTCCAGCAGTGTGCTGGTGAAGTTTTGCCTTCATAGGTCTGGTTGATTTTCATCTGTTTCATGCCTTATCAAATGAGGGAGACATGCAGTTGACTGGGTTAACACAGCTGACACCCAGGGGCTGCTGTGCCCATGGATTTCCATCATTATTCACTTTTGCAGCAGGTATAACATGGGCTAAATCTACCACAGCAGATGGTCCTACAGCCTTCCCACTTCTAACTGACTGATCTTGCTGCCTTCCTCAGGGAAGGGCAAGGAAAACTGACCTTGATTTTTCTGGTTGCTTTACCTCCCAACACATGGAAGTGGCAGGAAAACTTGGTAAAAGGTGGGAATGCTTCGTTTTATGGGCAGTGCTGTTTTAGAGCAGAGCAGCTCTGGAAGGGGAGTTACAAAACTGCCCTTCAGAGAGATGTTATGGGTGAGGTTTGGCTGAGCCAGTTCAACCTCATTCACCTGGCAAGGAGAAACTGGGTCTTTTTGTCTATGTGTCAAGATGAATCAGCACAGGGGTACAGGAATGACAAACCCCATACCCAGGCCGAATGTGGCTGGCAGATGAAAGGAGTGAAGAGCAGGATTATCCCTTCCTGTCAACAACAAGCTGTTATCTCAGCTAGTGTGTAATTTCCTAACATGTAATTTCAGCTTCAGATGCAGGACTCAGCACCCAGAATCATGCAGCCACCCTCAGCAGCCCAATGGTCCAAGCTGCTCCATCCATCATTGGGTGGATTCATCCACCATTCACTGGGGCTACCACCTCGCTGTTACCACCCTGTGGAACAAGGAGAATATCTGTTCAAATAGCAGGTTCAGACAACCCCTCTGTACAGCAGCAGAGAGGATGAGAGGTGCCTCATGGATGGGCTTTGACATGGGACTAACACTGGCTTGTACAAAAGGACTTTGAGCTGTTTGCAAACAGGGCTAGAAGAAAATCCAGTTCTAAGATGTCCAGCACCACATTTTTGTGCATAGGCAAGACTCAGCACACCATAAACGAATGATTTTCTTGCATTCACTGAAACTGCAGCTCACCAGCAGATTCAGATACATTGCTAACAGAACAACCCCTTCTCTAGCAGTGGAAATGTGTGTTCCTCCAGGCAGACACACTGTAAGGTGTGTTTCAAGCCAAAGTCATCAGCCATTGCTGTGAGGGTACAAACAGGTTTCTCAGCCCTTATTTAACTTCTGGGATAAAGCTCCCTGCTCCGGTGGGATTCAAGAGACGTATGGATGGGCTTCTGGGATCTGTGTGGAATGCCAGTGACCAGTTTTTGTTTCAGGCAGAGGTCAAACACTGAGGATACGGCAGGAATAACCCCAAACCCCGTCAGCTGCTCAGTCAGTGTCACCATTAATGCACCATGGAAGAACACAGTGCTTCGGTTTGATTCTTTCTGAGCTATACATCCCACTAGATGTGTGTATTTACACTCTAAAGCATGTAACTTCCAGGAAAGATCGTTGCCAGCTGGCAGAAAGCACTGAATGACTCTATAGCCACCACGTGCTGCTCTTAATAGCAAGTCACCTGCTCTGTACAGAAAGGTAAGGCCTTGCCGGACCCAGATAACCAGGGTGGGTGACGATAACAGAGTCTTTGTTGAACTGCCAGCCCTTTGTTCACAGCCTGGAGTGAAAACAAAAGGAAACGTTTATAGCCGTTAAAAATCACAGCAGAATTGTTGAGGTTGGCAACAAAACAAGTCAGTCATGCACAGGATTAAAAATAAAGAAGCTAACAGCGGCTTTTCTGTGATGCAAATAAAGTAAGAATTATTAAGTAAGAAGAATTATATATAAAAAGAATTATAAAGTAAGAATTATAAGAAAATATTATTCTCTACACATTGGAGCGAGTAGTAAGGAGCAAATACCTGCAGCTCTGGGAATGCAGAACGAGAAGCTGAGATGACCGTTCACAGTCACCTCAGGACTGAAAATGCAGACAGACTCAAAGGTTGTGTTCAAGGCCAGCTTGGACAGAGTCTTGGGCAACAGGGTCTAAAGTGAGGTGTCCCTGTCCATGGCAGGGGGTTGGAAGTGGATGATCTCAAGGTCCTTTCCAACCCAAACCATTCTGTGATTCTGATGCCATGATCTGCCTCTCATGTTTTTCAGAAACAGTTTAAGCAGATGCCAGCCCAGGATGAGTGTGTGCTTGTGTGAGGAATCAAGGAATCATGTACTGGTTGGAATTGGAAGGGAGCTTAAAGCTTATCCAGTTCCAACCTATCATGGGCAGGGACACCTTCCACTGGAGCAGCTTGCTCCAAGCCCCTGTGTCCAACCTGGCCTTGAACACTGCCAGGGATGGGGCAGCCACAGCTTCTCTGGGCACCCTGTGCCAGCACCTCAGCACCCTCATGGGGGAAAAAAAATATGGGGGGCGGGAGGAGAAAGCTCTGTGTGCTGCAGGGCAGAAAACCTCAACTGGGTTTTATCCTGACCCTCCTGTGGGGAGGGAGGACTAGTGACTGATGGTCAATAACACGGTGCTTGGAGGATCAGCACTTTTTGTCACACCAGTGTTCCTACTTGTGTGACACTGTTTCTTTCCCAGCCAGGGCTGTCCTTGGCTCCCCACTCCTTAATCCCCAATGGACATAAAAATCCCTTAGCAATCCAGATCATAGAATCATAGAATGGTTTGGGTTGGAAAGGACCTTAAGATCGTCAAATTCCAACCCCCCTGCCATGGGCAGGGACACCTCACACTAAACCATGTCACTCAAGACTTCGTCCAACCTGGCCTTGAACACTGCCAGGGATGGAGCATTCACAACCTCCCTGGGCAACCCATTCCAGTGCCTCACCACCCTTACAGTAAAGAATTTCCTCCTTATATCCAATCTAAACTTCCCCTGTTTAAGTTTTAACCCATTTCCCCTTGTCCTATCACTACAGTCCCTAATGAAGAGTCCCTCCCCAGCATCCCTATAGGCCCCCTTCAGATACTGGAAGGCTGCTATGAGGTCTCCACGCAGCCTTCTCTTCTCCAGGCTGAACAGCCCCAACTTTCTCAGCCTGTCTTCATACGGGAGGTGCTCCAGTCCCCTGATCATGAGCACACATCCAAGGAAGGCTCTTCCTTACACCTCCGTAAGCCCAGAGGTCAGGTGAATCCCAGCTCTCCCTGTGCCGTGCAGGTCTCCCAGGCACCCTCTCTCTTCCTCAGCACTTCCCGCAGGGACACTTCCCATTCCTCTGAGCGTTACGGCAAAGCCTCAGCCGCTGCACCCCTGCCCAGCCCGCTGTAGGTGTACACGTACTCGCAGGCATCACCCGCACACGTCGCCCCGGTGTTGCGGCGGGCCGGTCATGCATTGTGGGAGCTGTAGTTCGCAGCGCGCAGCACTACAAGTCCCAGCCTCCAGGAGGAGGAGGAGAAGGAGGAGGAGGAAGGGAGCCGGCTCGGCCCAGGCCTGCAGCCCGAGCGGGACCCCCCCGGGGGCGGGCCGTGGCGGCATGCGGCTCCTCGGCCGGCCCGGCCCGCTCCGCAGCACGGCGCTGGCCGCCCGGCCGCCGGGGAGGCTCCGAGCGGGGCCGTGGCGGCGCGGCTTCACCCGCGGGCGGCTCGGCGGCACCATGGCAGAGGAGGCCAAGCGGCTGGCTGCCTGCGCGGCCGTGGACAAGCACGTCCAGGTGAGACCGCGCGGATCCCGGGGCATGGGGGGCAACGGGGGGCGCGGATCCCAGGGGCGCACGGAGCATCCCGGAGCATGGAGGGGCTCCGGGGTGCAGGGACAGGCTCTGGGGTGCATGGACCGACCAGTGCACGGAGCGGACACGGGGTGCTCGGAGCCTCTCGGAGCACGGATGGGCTTCGGGGTGCAGGGACCCCCAGATGACAGAGTGGCCACGGGGTACATGGACAGGCTCTGGAGTGCAGGGACCCTCAAAGCATAGAGCGGACACGGGGTGCATGAAGCCTGTCGGAGCACGGACGGGCTCCGGTGTAAAGGGACCCTCAAAGCACAGAGCAGACACGGGGTGCATGAAGCCTGTCGGAGCACGGACGGGCTCCGGTGTAAAGGGACCCTCAAAGCACAGAGCGGACACGGGGTGCATGAAGCCTGTCGGAGCACGGACGGGCTCCGGTGTAAAGGGACCCTCAAAGCACAGAGCAGACACGGGTGCATGAAGCCCGTCGGAGCACGGACCGGCTCCGGTGTAAAGGAACCCCCAAAGCACAGAGGGGACACGAAGTGCACGGAGCTTCCCGGAGTGCAGGGGCAAGCTCTGGAGTGCAGGGACCCTCAAAGCACAGAGCAGCTGCGGGGTGCATGGAGCATTCCTGGAACACGGACGGGCTCCGGGTTGCGGAGACACCCAAAGCACAGAGCGGCCGTGGAGTGCACAGAGCCTCCCGAAGCATGAAGGGATCCTGGGGTGCAGGGACCCCCAGAGCACGGAGCAGCCACGGGGTGCACGGAGCCTCCCGGCGTGAGGACGGATCCCAGGGTGCTTGGAGCTGCCCCGGGATGCTGACACTCCTCCAATGCATGCAGCGGACATGGGGTGCACAGAGCTTCCCAGTGCATGAACAGGCTCTGTGGTGCAGGGACCCCCCACTGCATGGAGTGACCATAGGGAGCACGGAGTCTCTTAGTGCATGGATGGACCTGGGCTGCAGGAACAGGCTCGGGGATGCAGGGACCTCCACAGTGCAAGCAGTGACCGTGGGGTGCATGGAGCTTGCCGGTGCATGGTTGGACTTTGGGCTGCACGGATACCCTCCAGTGGATGGAGCAGCTCTGAGGTGCATGGCGTGCATGCACAACCCAACCTGCCGCTGTAGCATGGACAGTCCTGGGATGCAAGGAGGGACCGTTGTGTCCCACCGAGCCTGTTCCTCCTTTGCTTTGGACTGCGGTTCTTTAGCCTGGAGAGAAGGGAGAAAACTGCTTTTCCCTTCCCATCAGTGCTCGCCCAGTGCATGGCTCAATGTCCTGCATCTCCAAGCATTCACCATGCACCCTCTTGCAAGCTGGGCTGTGGTTGGAGTTCAGGATAATGCCATGTCCATCTCCTTTTCCCAAGTCTGGGATGCTCCAGTGCTTCACCCTATTTCTGAGCACCTAAGCAAAGAGCAACAGCCCCTTACCAGGGGGTCATGTCTTATCCTCTGCAGGAAAGGGAGTGCAGCAAGGGGCTTTCATGGAACCTTCAAAGCTCAGATAGGACCGGATCTGCTTGAGGTTTGTCACAGCCTGATTGTGAACACTTGGGAGATCAACGGTTAAAGTCACGCACTGGTTTATCGCAGTGTTTGCTGTGCAAACCCTGTTGCAACAGCGGTGATGAAACTGGCCTAGAGTCAGTGCCAAGAAGGTTGATTATAGCAGTGAGGGGGGGGGGAAGTTTCCTTTTCCTTCCTGCTTCCCACTTCAGGTTAGCATCCTGGTGACTTCCTTGATATCCCATAATGTTCACTTATATTGCAGCCTGGGCTTCCTCTGCGCACTCTGTACCTGCCTGCAGAAAGCACACCTATGTATGTGAGATCTACCCCTGCCAGGCCAGTGAGCTCAAAGGCAGTCTGTGGGGTGAGGGAGCCTGGGGAGCGGACCGGTAGTTGCATTAAACCCCTCTTTTTTACCCAAAGCATGCCCTAAAGTTGCACACTGAGGAAGCACTCGTGTCGCAAGGTGTGGAGCCAAGGCAGGACCGTACTGTGGGTTATCCGGTTTGATGTGGGACAGAAGGTGACTCTTCATTTTGGACTTTTCCTGATGAAATACTAGCCTTTGTGCTGCCGTATGGTGAAGCAGGCTTGGACAATGTTTCTGGCCATGCTGCAGCTGATTAAAGTTCAGTGCCCCTCTGAGTAAGTCAAATAGGCAGTGTCTGGGGTAATACCGCAGTGCTCGGTGCGCAGGCTGGCTCGAAGCAGTGGTGGAGAAGCCGGTTGGAGGCACCACCAAGGAGTTAGGGGGGCTCAGCCGTCAGAGAAAACCCATCTCCCTTCCAGTTTGCACTGTCAGGGTGCAGTTGCTCTTTCTAAGGGAGAGTTTTGTGTGTGGTTGTTGGCTGTTAACGGTGGGAGCAGTGTTATCTCCAAAAGCAAAGCTGCAGATTCCCTTCCTTGCACGGCAGAGACGTGGGAGACGTCAGTGACTTCAGGGTTTGGTTGTGTTGGACAGATCTCTTCTGTTTAACAAAGGTTAAGGTGCTGTAAATCCATGGCACCGGGGGTACTGGATGGGGCTCCTCACTTGGCATTCTCCTTCTCACCCATCCTTAGCTGTGCTTGCACTTCATGCAGCCTGCGGCAGATGTAAACCTGGGGAGGGGGGGATTAGGAAAGAACTTTTCTCTCTTTGTGTTACTAAATATAATAACAATAATTGTTTTTATTAAAGCCAGGTTGGTGTGTTTGCCCACAGAGCTCCCCAATACTGGAGTGCACACTGCATGACCAACCTCAGGAGTCATGGGCTGTGAGGCTCTGACAGCTCGGAGGAGTGGGGCTGGCACAGGGCTTGGGGCTTTAGAGCCATAAGCTGCTTGGGCAGAGCTGGCTTTGCATTTCCACATCAGCTCTGAAGGCAGGCCCTGGCCCTGTCAGCATCTTTGTTAGAAGTGAAAAGATGGGTGGACTGAGCGTTCATAAGAGGAAACTTTAGGTTTTGCACTGTATTTATCTCCTGTTCTTTGCATAAACTTGCATTGGACCCACTAGCCCCTGTGGTGCTGCTGATACCCACTCCATGTGCGTTGTCCATATCTGTAATGCTAAGCAGCGTCTCTACACCCTTTGTTTAACTGAGGAAGTGCTGTGGTTGCTGCTGACTCCACTCCCAGTGTCCATACATGGGTCCTCAGCTATGCTGTGGGTCAGTGCCTTGGCTTTGTTTGCTGGGGCTTTAGCAGAACAACCTGAAATGTCATTTCTTTGCATGGAGCGCTGCTCCTCAGTGCTGTGAGCTGGACCTGCCCCTTGCACACTGACCCTGTGCTCTGCTTCTCCCCGGTGTTTGTCCTGCCCCTGTTTTAAAGGTGGATGGTTTATGGCTGGTTTTGCCCCTGGTCTGGCTGGGTTGGAATGGAGGAGGGAGAGGTGGGAGCTGCAGTAAGGCAGGGGCTGTGACAGCACCAGTTCAGACTGGCTTAAACTGCTCATTTGCGAAACCCACTTAGCCCAAGGTCTTGCCCTGGCCTAAGGAAGGACACTTCTCCCCTCATCACAACTGCCTGACAGGAGGATGGAGCCGGGAGGGGCTGGGCTCTGCTCCCAAGGAACAAGGGATGGGACAAGAGGAAGCGGCCTCAAGCAGCACCAGGGCAGGTTTAGATGGAGCTGAGGAACAATTCCTTCCCCAAAGGGTGCTCAGGCATTGGAACAGGCTGCCCAGGGCAGGGCTGCAGTCACTGTCCCTGTGACTGTTCACACAGCGTGGAGGCGAGGCCTTAGTGCCGTGGTTAGTGGTGGCCTTGTCAGTGCTAGTTGGTTGGACTGGATGAGCTTAGAGGGCTTAAAGGGCTTTTCCAACCTGGTTGGTTCTGTGATCACTGAATAAATACCTTCAAGTTTATTGCCAGTGGTGGGCTGGGACCCTTCTGAGCTCTTCCCTCTTCATTACAGTGAAGCTGCTGATAGTGAGGCTTTTGCCATCCCTTTGGCCATCCAGCTGCTCCAAGAAGCTGTCTCACCGTGTAGAAATGAGGGTAAAGAGGAGAAACTGCCTCTTCCCAGATCAAAACAAGTCTCTTAGGACATGTAGTACCAGTGTTCTCACCAGCTTTGCTTCCCCTTCCTTGGCTGGCCACACTTGGCTCGTCCATGGGGCAGGTGAAACTGAGGAACCTTGGGACCTATTGGGTTTCTGCTGTCACCATTGCAGGCGTGCAGAAAGCTGTCTCCTGCTTTCCCTGCCTTTTGCAGGGTCACGGTGGTTACTGAGGGCTGGGATATGAGCCGAGTCCCTGGTTGTGTGCTGGGGTTTGGAGAACTCTGTTTTCTTTGAGCTTTCAACCTGCAGAAGCAAGATAAATCATTAATCCTATGGGAGTATGACCTGTCCTGAGCTCCACCTTGCCAGCTTCTGTGCTTGTGTAAGAGTTGAGCTGGTTGAAATGCTGCAGGTGTGGTTTTTTCCATAGCTGCTGAACTCTGGATCTGCTGCACGTGGAGAAAGAGCTCCAGACCCATCTAATGTCCAAGAGATAACGCACACCAGCTCTGTGCCTGCATCTCTGGCTGGCTTCAGGTCTTTCTCATCTGGAGTCTCTGTAGTGATATTGGGCCTCCTTAATTCAATTTAAGCTTTGGATCCCATCCAAAGAAGGGGAAGTACATTGGAAACGGGAAGTGCACGAGAGGCTGCGGTTAGCTCTCAGTGAGACTGAGTTGATAGTAAACAGATCTACATGGCAGGGCATCCTCTTGAGAGGTAACACAGTTGAACCCATCCACCATCAGCCTGCAGCCCCTTTTAGAGGCATGTCTGTGTTACGGGTGAGATATTAGTGACCCTTCATTAACCACACCATAAGCAGGGAAAGGCCAGGGCTGAGCTGTGGTTAAAAGAGGATCCTCTTCATTATACACTGCCAGGCTCACCCATCTTTCAAGTGTGCAGCTGGACTCTCCTATAGGCAGTTTTTATTCCCTAGGAGTAGCTGCTGGTGCATGTGTACTGTTTACTAACAATACAGTTGGCTGCAAACCCATGCTTTTACTGTGTGGCTTCCTTGGGAGATGTTATCTTGAGGTTCTTTCAGCTTCTTCCTCTGTGGTATTGTCTGAAACTCCCAGGAGAGGATGCATGGAGTGCCAGCAACCAGCAGTGAGTGTGCATTGAACACCCTGAGATTCAGACCAGGGTGGTATTTAATAAGTGCCCTTCAATAAGGGGGTGAGTAGCTTAAAGTGCCTTAGCAACAGACAGGGTTGTGCCCTCTCTGGCACAGTGTGTTCCCTTCCTTGCCTGCAGCGTGCTAAGATGATATGTGTCAGTGTGCATCTCTGGGCAAGGTTCCACTGCATGTGTTTATAATGTCGAATCCGCCAGGAAAAGTGGGAAGCCCTTGTGCTGAGCCCCCAGTAACAGCTCTCCTCTGTCTCTCTTTGGTTTGCAGAACAATCAAGTTCTTGGGATTGGAAGTGGTTCTACGATAGTCCACGCGGTGCATCGATTAGGTAGGATGCTCCTCTTCCTATCCCTCCCCTTGCCCCGCTGCCCCAGCTACATCAAAACCATGCTAAATCATCTGGATGCTGACTGAGAGCTGATGTGTCAGCTCTGTTCACCAACTGCTGTCTCCTCCTCGAAGCTGAAGGCTAAAACTGGGTCTTGTTCTCCAAATATATTGCACAGAGAGTCCCGAGGAGGTAATGATTTACCACTTGTTCTCCTATAGAGCCAGGCAAAGCGCTTTTCTGGCACCCACCACAAACTGGAGCTGAACTCCTGCATTTCATTCCAGCTCTACCCCAGTCCTGACTTGCTTTGTGGCTTTGGGCCATGCAGCTGCGCTGCTTCCGTTAACCCATTTGTATGCAGCTCACGCTGGTTGCTCGCATCCACGTTATTCACATTGAGGGTACTGAGGAGGTGTAACAGAAAGGAATGTGAAATCCCACTGCATTTTTCATACCTCGTAGCTAGCTTTACCTGCTTGCCCCAGGTGCAGGTTTGTTCCAGGTGTGATTCAGAACATTTCAGCAACATATTCAAGAGAAGCTAATGCATTTCTGCAAAGGCAGTATGAGGGCAATTATCCCCATGCCTCATTACAGAGGCTTCAGGTTCCCTTCACAGGGCATTCTCAGCCCTAGGGCAGATCTGCCGGTGGAGGTGCTGTACCTTGTCCTGCTTTGCTTGGATGCAAACCAGAGCAGCAGTGGATGCCGTGGTGGGTTGGGAGCGCAGGATCAGGTCTGTTGTTCCTGAGGGTCCTGCTTGGATTCAGAGGGGGATTCTCGTTGGAAGCAGAGCTCGATGTGTCCCACATGGGTGGCTTTGTGTGGTTGGGAAGTCCCCTTGTCACCTCCAGCTCCCTTGGGCAGTGTCACCCACAGAGGGCAGGTGGTGCTGAGGTCTGAGCATAGCACAGAGCTTTGCTTTGCAGGGAAGCAGAAGGGATGGTGCTGTGCCTGCCCCTGGCATCCACCTCACTCCTCACTGTGTCTGTAGTACAGTTGTCTGGGAGCTGCGGTTCAGCTTTCTGGGTTGGGTTCAGTATTGCCACCACTCCCAACTACATAGAATCGATCTCTGAATGAATGGGTGCAGTATTTAAAGTGGAGTGCCTGTTCCAGGCTGCAAATTCTGACTTGCCATGTCAACTGGATGCATTAGCACTGGGATGGGGTTCGTAACAGCACACAGCCTCACGTATCGTGTCTTCAGCCCTTCCACAGCAGCGTTACATGGAGCATGCAGCCCGTGTGCTTGCTGTGGTGTGAGAGCTGCCTCTGACGCCTGGGCTGCTGGCTTGTGCCCAAGTATTGTAATTACTAAAATAACATTTTGTCCATAATGATATCTTAGTAATAGATTTTAGTCATTTGAGGTTAACCTGGGGGAGGAAATACTTCCTTCCATTTAACGGAATACTGTATTTTATTAGTCCTTTCCCTGCCATATATTTAAATGTTCTGTAATAAATGAATGTGTTGTTCCCCAAGGCAACAAGCCAGAAAACCTTTCAGACAGCTGCTGTTTACAAGGAGTGTAGCTAAAACCTGTCTAATGGAGTGAGAGGGGGGAATGGGGCTTATTTCCCAGGTGACATTTGCTGACAGGGCTCCTCTGCTGCTGGAGACACAAAGGTTAATGGCTCGTGATGCCTTGGGCTGAGCCAGGGTGGGTGTTTAAACCCTTCTGACCCTAGAAACAGAGCCTCAGCCTAAGCAGGGTGGCACCTGTTTGTGTTTGGAGCCTGAGTTATTTGCAAGCCAAGCAAGTAATTGCAGTGATTCATTCAAAGGGGCTGCTCGGAACTGAGATTTCTTAAAGTGATAGTTGGTGTTGTTTTACCTTCTGCAACAAACTGAGACTTCTTTTCTTTGCTGCAGCCGAGCGGGTTAAAGAGGAGAACCTGACAATTGTCTGCATCCCGACGTCTTTCCAGGTAAGAGCTTTCCTCCTTTGCACGGACTCACACAGGGGATCTTCCCTTTGGCTGTGGGAGGGAACCACACCGCTGTCTGGGCTGGCTCATGGTGGTGTGATTAACTGAAAGCACCAGTGAAAGCAGTTGTGATGCAGCCTGCAGATAGATGGGATGGGGATGGTGATGGTGCTGGTGCTGTGTTTCCCTGACCTGAGCCGCAGGGATGCTGTAATGCTTTGAGGTGTGTTTCAAACCAGTGTGGTAACGCTGGTCATGTCAGTGTTGGTACGTGGCTTGCTCTGCATCCCGCTTGTGGAAGAGTGCTGTTTAGTGGTGAACCAGACTCATAATGCAGAACACATTGGAGACACTTAAGTCTGCTTTGATTCTGTACGAAGTCCTGAAAACTGCAGAAAGCATTCTGCAAGCAATAATAGCAAGCTTGTGTTTTTCAGGAGGGTTTGAAATGCATCAACTGGCTTTTATAAGCAGTTGCAGAAGAGAAATAAGCTTCATCTTTCCTTTGCTGCACAGCTTTTGCAGGAATTGCTTCATGCCATGCCAACTCTTGAGAGGTTTGCAGGGAGAACATGGTGAAGTGCAGAGCTGCTGAGGAAGCTTCTGAGCTGCTTCCATGCCTCCAGGCAACTGGCTTTGGTTTCTCTGCCTCTATTCCCTGAGGTGGGAACACATTGCACAGGAGCAAGATGTTAACCTTGGTTCCATTGGAGAGGGAGAGGTGACATGGTGGGGACCATCCATGGGGTTTTTGAGGCTGGGTGGCAATGCCCCACTCTAAGAATTGGGCATGTGTCCTCATGGTCCTGGTGTGGAGCTTGGGGTTGTACTTCTGTCCCAGCTTCTTCACCTCAAGGACAATCAGGCAGTGGGGCAGGCTGGGCAGAGTCCATCCTTCGAGGTGTTCAGGACCCGAGTGGGTAAAGCCTTGAGCAACCTGGTAGCTGACCCTGCTTTGACGTGGAGGTTGGGGAGAGACCAACCTGAGTTACCCTAAAATCTGATTGTTCTCCTCCACCCTTCCAGTGGCAGGGAATGATGAGGGAAGAAGCAGGAAGAGCCAGCAGATCAAGGCCTGGCTCCAAGCCTGGTGTCACCATGATCATGGGTTGGCTTACTCAGCACCAGGCCTGCTGGTGACAGATGGGGTACACCACACTCAAAGGGGGAAGCGGATCTTTGTGCAGGAGTAACCAGGGCTCTTTGAAAGAGCTTTAAACTACATCTGAAGGGACAATGGAATCAAACCAGACTCACCAGAGATCAGCCTGGGGGCAGCACACCAGTGTTTGAGGGATAGTGTGCTAGTGAGGTCCTTCAGTCTTAGTGGAGGTAGGGGATGGAAATCCATGCAGCAGCAAGTTCACCAGGGTTATTGATGTGTTAGAAACCACAGAAGCCCCTGTGGGAATTGGGTCTTTTAGCCCAAAAAAAAGGGATGGAATCAACAGCCCAGCTGAAGTGTATCTGTATTTATGTACACAGCATGGGCAACAAACAGAAGGAGCTGGAAGCCATTGCACAGTGGGAAAGCTATGACAGAGCTGCCATAATGGAAACATGGTGGGATGACTGGCACAACTGAAGTGCTGCAGTGGATGGCTATAAACTCCTCAGAAGGTACAGGCATGGAAGGAGAGGTGGGTTAGCTCTGTATGTTAGGGAGTGCTTTGACTGTCTGGAGCTTAATGATGCTGATGATAGGTTTGAGTGTTTATTGGTACGAATCAGGAGGAAGGCCAGCAAGGCATGGCCATGGTGAGAGTCTTGGGCATAGCGATAACAACGTGGTAAGAGTTTATAACTCCTGGAGAAGCAAGGAGCAGAGTCAGCAGAACCAGGACTTCAGGAGGGCTGATTTTAGCCTGTTTAGGAGCCTGGGTGACAGAGTCCCTTGGCAGTCCTGAAAGCCAGAGGAGTCCAGAAGGCTGGACGTTCTTCAAGAGGGAAATCTGAGAGGACACAGGAGCAGCCATCCCCATATGCCAAAAGATGATCCATCAGGGAAGAAGACCAGCTTGGCGGAACAGGGAGCTTTGGCTGGAACTCAGCAAGAAAAGGAGAGTTTATGACCTCTGGAAGAAGGAGCAGGAACCTTAGGAGGACTGCAAGGGTGCTGTGAGGTTATGTAGGGAGAAACTAGAAGAGCTAAAGCCCAACTACTATGGCTGCTGCCATAAAAGACAATAAATAATGTATCTATAAATTAGCAATGCAGGGAGGGCTAAGGATAATCTCCATCCTTTATGGGATATGGTAGGGAAAACAGTGACAAAGGATGAGGAAAAGGCTGAAGTACTTAATGCCTTCTTTGCCTTAGTCTTGAATAGCAAGACCAATTATTCTTGGGGTACCCAGCCCCCTGAGCTGGAAGACAAGGATGGGGAGCAGAATGAAGCCCTATAATCCAAGGGGAAATGATCAGTGACCTTGGACACACATGTCTGTGGGGCTGGATGGGATCCACCCAAGGGTGCTGCGGGAACTGGTGGAAGTGCTTACTGAGCCAATTCCCATCATTTACCAGCAGTCCTGGCTCAATGGGAAGGTCCCAGTTGGCTGAACATTAGCAAGTGTGATGCCCATCAACAAGAAGGGCCAGGGGAGGTTTAGATTGGATAGTATGAAAAATGGCTTCACTGAAAGGGCTGTCAAGCATTGGAACAGGCTGCCCAGGGCAGTTGTGGGGTCCCCATCCCTGGGGGTATGTAGAAGATGTGTAAAAGTGGCTCTTAGTGCCATGGGTTAGTGGTGGCCTTGGCAGTGCTGAGGTAACGGTTGGACTCAATGATCTTAAAGCTCTTTTCCAACCTAAATGAGTCTGTGATTATATGAACAGTTAAAATCCTCTTACCCTGCAGATGTTCTTTAAGTGAGAGTATGGGCTGATGGGAGTTGCTCTTTTCCTGGCTGTTGCAAACAACCAGTGGCCAACTGGGGTACAATGCAAACTGCTGCAAAAGACAAAACCAGTAAAAACTACTTTCCTTTTTCCTTTTTTTAACCTTTATCAGTCCTTCTGTCGCATCTGTAGACTGTGGTGAGAGTCTGTCTTTGACATGTCTAAGGTGATCCCCGTCTTGACGTAACGTGTCCCGTTGGAACCTGGGGCTCTGAGGTCAGTTACTAGGTCTTGCAGAAAATACTGATAAAGCTCTTGCAGTGATTGTGGGCTGGAGCCTGTCCTGCCCTGAAATGCTGACATAGCTTGTGTAATGCTACTCTAAAACCAAAAGGTCGCTGTAAAGGGGAAAAGGTAGATCATACACTTGTAGGACCCAATATCCCCCAGACACAGGGCTGCCTCCTATCTTTTGCCATCTCTTAGACCCAAACCAATCCCGATTGAAGCACTCCCAGGTCAGCAAACCAGCATCCTATTTTTGCTATGTACAGGTGTAAATGGCTGCGTGAGGTCGGTGGCAAGGAAGATTTGGTTTCAGTGAGTTTTTATTCTCCTCCCTTCCTTGTTGTCAGGTTGGGTTATTCCATCACCACCAGTAAAGCTAGAGCCAGGGTAAGTATCTGACCCTTGGCTTCTGTGTTTCTCCTTTTCACCTGGATGTGTGCCGAGAGCACGGGGTGAGACCGTTCTTGGCAAGTGCTGGGCAGTTATCACCTTTCCCCTGCTGTGGCAGCTCTGCTTTGGTTCCTGCTGCTCTGCTCCATTGCCTGCCAAGCAGAGAGCCTGAAGAAAGCCACCTTGTTCCCACATTGCTGACTCCAAGCCTGTTCAGGATGGGGCCTGCATGTGCAGCGCAGTGATTTTTCAATGCTTTCAGTTCCTGACGTTCCTCTTCATGGACGCCTTGTGATGAATGGAAACCCACTGGGTTTTATTCTTGTTATATTGTGAGTACTCAGGGCAAACCTAGGGCACAGTCAAGAGTCTGCAGCCCATGGGTGTTAACACTGCATGCTATGAAATGCCACCGTAAGCGATTCAGATCATAGCTCATTGCCAGCAGTACCACTTGCTAACTTGTCTTAATGTTTCTGGGATGCCAGTACATGCAACTGAATGCACTGTGTTAGTGGGTAAAATACAGGGGAATTGGTTGATCCCAGGCTATTGCACTGGGGTTTCTTGGTCAAGCTACAGCATGGTGTGGAGTTCAGACTTGGGCAGAGTCCATACAAGCAGGGAGTCTCATTTAGGTGATGATTTGTAATGCAGACAACCAATTCAAGGTTCTGTAAGCTGGAACTCCTCTTGGAGGGGGATAAGTGTACCCTCAGTCAGTTTGCAGACACCAAGCAGGGGGGGAGTGTTGATCTGTCTCAGTGTAGGGAGGCTCTGCAGAGGGATCTGGACAGGCTGGATTGATGGGTCAAGACCAATTGTATGAGGTTCAACAAGGCTCAACGCTGGGTTCTGCACTTGGGGCACAACAACCCCATGCAGTGCTCCAGACTTGGGGAAGAGTGGCTGGAAAGCTGATCAGTGGAAAAGGACACGGGGGTGCTGATGGACAGAGCTGAACATGAGCAGCTTGTGCCCAGGCAGCCAAGATGACAACAGCATCCTGCCATGTATCAGCACCAGTGCGGCAGCAGGACTAGGGCAGTGACTGTCCCCCTGCACTGGGCACTGGTGAGGCAGCACCTTGAATCCTGTGTTCAGCTCTGGGCCCCTCACTACAAGAGAGACATTGAGGGGCTGGAGCAGGGCCAGAGAAGGGCACGGAGCTGGTGCAGAGCCTGGAGCACAAGTGTGATGGGGAAGGGCTGAGGGACCTGGGGGGCTCAGTCTGGAGAAGGCTCAGGGAAGACCTGATGGCTCCCTCCAACTGCCTGACAGGAGGATGGAGCCAGGAGGGGCTGGGCTCTGCTCCCAAGGAACAAGGGATGGGACAAGAGGAACCGGCCTCAAGCTGCACCAGGGCAGGTTTAGATTAGATATTAGGAACAATTCCTTCCCCAAAGGGTGGTCGAGTATTGGAACAAGTTCCCAGGGCAATGTTGGAGTTTTCCAGCCCTGGAGGTATTTAAAAAACATGTAGATGTGACACACGGGGATGTGGTTTAATGGTCAACTTGTTTGTGCTACATTAGTGGTTGGATTTGATGATCTTAAAGGTCTTTCCCAACCTAAACAATTCCACGAGTCTCTGTTTAAACTGATGGATTGAGTGGAAGGTCACTGTGGGTGCTCTGTGTTGTATTGCCACTAGAGGGAAATACACGGCCACAACTTCAGTAAAGGAGGCTGGAGCTGCCAAGTACCTGTTTCAGAAGCTTCCCACTCTTCCACGGGTTGGACATTTCTTTATAACCTTGTTTGTTTGCTTGTTTGTTTCCAATATGAAAAGTATCTTCATTGTTAGCTCCGCATCACTGTGGTGTAAATACTTCTTCTTGCTCCCATTTTTCAGCTGAAGGGAATCAGAGGGCTGGATGTGTATGAAGGAGAATGATGCCCAAGCTGAGACAATACAAGACTCAAAACCCCCATATGTGCTCTAATGCTTAGATACAAGCCATTCCCACCAAGCTGATGGGACCTCTTGCTATTTTGTACAGAGAGACCCGAACCCACAAGTCCTGTTGCAGCATCTGAGCCCTTTAGTTCAAATCAGCAGCAGGGTTTTCCTTTGATTAATCTGGTGTGGGAGCATCATTTTCTCCTTGCCATGCATCCCCATTGCTGGCTGCAGCCTCTCCAGATTCAGGGTGGAGCAGTGGAACTCTTCTAAGGAGAATCCATCCTTGCTGCAGCTGAAGGATTGACACCATGAGACTGTTTTCCTTTCCTGCCACTGGTAAATGGTGTTTGCCACCAGTAAATGGTGTTTGCCACCAGCAAATGGTGTTTGCTGTCTTCTTGGTGCACAGGCCCGTCAGCTGATCCTGCAGAACGGCTTAACCCTAAGCGACTTGGACCGACATCCAGAGGTAAGGACCACAGAGGTGAGACCTCACCCGACCTTCCTCTAACCTGGTCCTTCATAAAGCACCAGGCTCCTTTGTGCTCCCCTGACCATATGAGTTTAGGCAGCCATACTGCAGAACGTGGGTTAGTTTATGTTCTTCCCCAGCCTGTGTCTTACTGCTTGATGCTTTAGGTAGTGAATAGGCTGCTGAGCTGGGTTCCCTGCAGGCGGAATCTCTTCCAGGTTGAGACAGGGATGTTGTGTTGCTGAACTGTCACCAATATTTCCCCCGTGAGCTCCCTGCCTGCATGCTGGTCCTCAAGTGACACTAGAAGCTAAAGTGATGTCCTTGCAGGCCAGCAATTAGGTTTTGGGTTTTCTTTCCCCTGCTCTCACATGCCTGTGGTTTAGTGGGGACTGGTACCCTTGGGATGCTGCTCTATAGTCAGGCTGGCATCAAGGTGGTCCCAGCTCTAGTGTCATTTCCGTCTGCTGCTTGGATCCTGAGCTGCACAAAGAGCAGTGCCTCAGAGCTGCACGAGAGGGGTTTCCACACCAAGTTCCTCCTCTCCCTACAGCTCGATGTTGCCATCGATGGAGCAGATGAAGTGGACTCTGACCTCAACCTTATCAAAGGTGGCGGGTGAGCCTTGCTGTCCTGTGCATGGTGCTGGTGGCGGGTGGCCTCTGAGCATCCCTTTCTGGCTGCCAATGGTCTGGCGTGGGCTGGAGAGGCTGAGGGGATGCTGTGCATGCACCTGCAATGGGATATGGCTCCTGACCAAGTGTGTGTGAGGGACAAGGGGGATAAAGTGAAGTGGCAGGGGAAGGGGCACTGGTGTGGGGCAGTGGCAGCACCAAAATGAACAAGAACATGATAGAGGGGACTGGATTTCAAAGCCATTGAGCACATTGAGGAGCAATCTGATGTTTTCTGACTGTTTTATTTCTGTTTTCTCCCCCTTGCAGTGGCTGCTTGACACAGGAGAAGATAGTTGCAGGATATGCAAAGTGCTTCATTGTTATTGCTGATTACAGGTGAGAATATTACTATTCATTACACCTCTGTCCTAGAGGAGGATTCAGATAGTCCTGTGTTAGGCCACTGTTTTCCTTCCAGTGGGTCAAGGGAGCAGGAATAGGTGGAAATGAGCCTGATTCCCAGTGTTTTAGCAATTCAGTTTAGCTTTTCTTAATTTTCAGCTCAGCAGGCCTGCTTAGGAAATGTGGGGAAGTGGCTGCTCTGCTGTTTGAGCTCAGTGACTGTCAGCACAGAATAGATTTCCCTTTCTGTACATACTGCTGCAGAGCTGTAATAAAAACAGTGTGTCCTGCTTGTCTGAAACATGTCAAAACAGGGTTTATGAGTGAATAAATCATCCATTGAACTGGTTCTTCCTACACATTAATCAGTGTGAACTGATTGCTGTGCCCTCAGGGTGTTATGCCTGAGGGGTCTGCGAGAGGCGATGCGATAATGGTGTTAGCAATGTAATGCCTGAGTCTGATCCCACCTCAAACCATGTCCTCAGGAAAAAGTCAGAAAGCCTTGGGGAGCAATGGAAGAAGGGAATTCCCATCGAAGTCATCCCCATGGCTTACGTCCCTGTCACCAGAGCCCTGACCAAAAACTTCGGCGGTGCTGTGGAGCTGCGGATGGCTGTTAGCAAAGCAGTAAGTGTCCCTCATCAGCCCAGCTTCCCCAGAGGAGCCATCTGAACATGGGCAAATGGAGGACCAGAGGTCTCGCCTTTCATCTAATTAAATCTGGACTTTCACTCCCACGAGTGGCATGTGTAATTCCCCTAATTATACTTTGGTTAATGAAGTGTATGTTCAGGTGTTCAGGCTGCTCATCGAAAGCCTCTCTGGCTTATGTCTACTGAAGCAAGCATCCCTGAGCAGGGAGAGGAGGGATTGACAGTCCGGCTCTGACCCACTGCTCTGGGGGATGTTGGGGGCTGGAGGGCAGTCTGTGCTGCCAAAGAGGGTCTTGAGTTAGGGGGCAACTCATGCTCCATCCACATAGAACCAGATTAAATTAAAACTGAAGGTGCTTTGTCTCTGCTGTCACTGCCCCATCACTTGAGCAGCAGGGTTTCACCAGCCACATTGAGTGGCAGGGGAAACAGAGCTGTCTGCAGTAAGGCCGGGGATATCACCTGAAGGCTTGTTTTAAATGCTCCTAATCCTGAGAGGCTCTAGGGATTGCATTTAGATGCCTGAGAAGAGCAAACTCAAGTTCATTCTCTGCAAAGGTGAGACCAGCCTTGCTTGGGGAATGCACATAAGTGTTGCTGTGTCCTTGGAGGATGCTGGTCCCTCTTGGTTGCACATCCTGCTCAGCACTGCTGAAACGCCTAGTCCTCAGCCCCAGTCTGTTGAAAAGACCCAATGTCCCCTTCTGTTTGGCTTGAGAGAGTGCTGGGCACATCTGGAACACTGAAATCCAGAAGTTCTTCAAAACTTCCCCATGGCATCATGCTGTTACCACTGGGGCAGAGGGGGTCTTACTTTGGGTTCAATTGCCTGTGACAGCCTTTTTAGGACATCGATCTACCTTTACTCTTGGGAAAAGGATTCCTTATTGCAGTGATGAAATTCCATCGTTTCGAGCTTCTGCGTGATTATCTATATAAAGGAGAATAAGGAACAAGCAGTTGCCTTGGGTGATGGTTTTATTTACAGGCTTATTGTGAACTGCCCTGATTTACTTCACTGATGACTCTAAATGGTTGTGGTGGTGATGGTGGTCTCCTTGAGGGCTGTGACAGTCCCTGGCTGGGCTCAGTGGCTCATGGTGTGACATGTGGGTTTGCTTCCCAGGGCCCAGTGGTGACAGACAACGGGAATTTCATCCTGGACTGGAAGTTTGACAAGGTTCATGAATGGGGTGAAGTGAACACTGCCATAAAAATGATACCAGGTAATGTCTGTGATCCCAAAGACAAAACCAAAAGCTGGCTAAGGCTTGGTCCATGCTGGATAACCCTGACCATGAGAACCCTACCCTGGATATGAGGAATTACATGTGTGTGTGTATTTACTGCCCTCTTACTGGTCCCTACATCTGCTTCTACTTGGAGAAATCAAGCTGAATTAGTACAACAGTACCCATGTGGCATTTCCATGTGGTGGTGAAAACCTGGGGTGATGCTGGGTGCCTTAGGACACTGTTCCCCATTAGGCACACCAGTCCCGTGCTCTTCCTTGCTCTCCTTGTGCCCATTTAGAGAGGGACTTTTAATGTACACACTGGTGAGTGCTGGAGGGAGGGTTCACACCGAGTTATAGTATTTTCTGTGACCTGCTTATAGCTTTGCATCCCATTGACATTCTGTACTTCTGTGCTGTAAGGGTGCAATGTATCCTACCTATTGCTGTGCACGAGAGAAGCAGTGGCTGATGGCACTGCTTGCAAGCGAAACAGCCTCTCTGCAAGGACTCCTGCTGCCCAGGCCAGAGCTGCTTCTGGGTAATCCAAGTCTCTGGAACTCTCTGAACCTCAGTGGAGCATCAGATAGACTGGCTCAGCCACCTGGGTATCTTGGCCAAGTCTGCTCAGCTTTTGAATACATATTCTTATATCTTTTATCTTTGAGTTTATCCCAGGTACCTGTTTGCCCTGAAAGCCATAACACAACTGCCTTCACTGGCTGTGTGTTGTCAGGGCAAGCTGGAACAGGTTGGGATCCTGTTGCACAAACCTCAACATCCCCACAAAGCAGCAATATACTGTGTTATAAGGACTTTTTCCTTTCATCTCTTTTGGTTGAGAGATGAAAGGTAAATGATGGGACCTGTTCCACCACACTGGTATGGAGATATGGACCTGCTAAGATATGATGCTCAGATATGGACCTGCTAAGGGGAGAAGAGCATCTTCCCTACCCAGAAGTGGAGGAGCAGAACTGTTACAGCCTGAACACAGTGGTGATAGCAGGGCTTTGGCCACCTAACCCTTGTCCTTCATTTCTTCCCACCTTCTTGGCTGTGGCTCAGTGATCACTGTGAAGTTAGGAGCACCCCATAATTAAATGCAACCAGAAGTACATTAGCAAATGGGCTGCAAATTGAAGCAGTAACATTAGATCTGCTGAGTCCTGACGTTTGAATAAGTGTGATCCAGGTGTTCTCCAAGAGGTTAGGATTTTACATGTGTTTAAAGGAAAAGCAGGTAAGTCTGTGGCTGCCTGTAGCTTCCTCTTGCTGGTATGGGTCATCAGGTGGCTGAAAATAATGGAATCCCAGACTGGTTTTGTGTTGGAAGGGACCTTAAAGCTCATCCAGTTCCAAGCCCTGGCCATGGGCAGGGACACCTCAGACTAAGCCATGTCACTCAAGGCTCTGTCCAACCTGGACTTGAACACTGCCAGGGGTGGAGTATTCACAGCTTCCCTGGGCAGCCCATTCCAGTGCCTCACCAACCTTACAGTAAAGAACTTCTTCCTTACAGCCAACCTAAATCTCCTCTATTCAAGTTTAAATCCATCACCCCTTGTCCTATCACCAGAGTCCCTGATGAAGCATCCCTCTCCAGCATCCCTGTAGGCCTCCTTAAGATATTGGAAGCTGCTCTGAGGTCTTGTGATTCTTCTGGGGATGGCCTAATGGAAAAGGCTTCTCTGGTGAGAGCAGAGGAATCCATGCTCTGGGGTGTCTCTGGCATTAACCAGTGTGTGAACCCTCATTTCCCAGGTGTGGTGGAGACGGGGCTCTTCATCGACATGGCAGAGGTGGTGTACTTCGGCATGGAGGACGGCTCGGTCAGCGTGCGGGAGAAGCAGCCTCGCTGAGGGCCCTCTGCTCCACCTCCAGCCACTTTGATTCCCCTGCTGTAACGGTGCCAACCTGACGTCTTGCCTTAAATGAGCAGCGGTTGTTGCAGAGGACGGATGATGGGAAGTGGGTCGGAATCCGCTGACGTGATGCTGAATGTCTTCTCGTGTTTTTTAAAGACCAACAACAGAAAATCTATTCTATTTCTATATCTATATTTTTACTTTATAGGAGATGTTGTCCTTTTTTTAAAGAATCGTTTCGACAAATTGCTTTAACGTTTTTATTTGATTTTCTAAGGAATACTTAACCAAAAAGAATACTCCTTATTTTGTTTGTGATTTGTGTGATTTTATTCCCTTGCATTTAAAGAGAACTTGAACCCTTCTGGTTGCTCGTAGTGCTTCAGTGACTGAGGTCAGGAATACAATCCTAATGCATCGTTCCTAACCACCCTGGCTTAGAATGCGATGCACTAACATCACGTTAGTATGTTAGCACATACTAACATATGGGTGATGTACGTAACAGGAGCACATCCAGTCGGGACCTGATGATGCCTTATTTGGAACCTTTTTGGTTCGGTATTTTATGCCTTTTATTTTTCTATACCACTGGTTTTTAATAGTTAGAATGTCTGGTTGTCCTCTGTGCACGTGACAATTCTCTGAGCCCAGGGTGGTCTCTACATCCCTCTGTCTGGGACATTATAAAGGCCTTTTCCAGGCCTCTGTAAGGAGGAGATGTTCATCCTTTGAGCCAAAATATGCTCTCCATTCATTCAGTACCTCTGATGAAAGCCTGTTCCTGTACCTGGAGATATCTGGGACTTGGTCCTTGTAAACCGAGAGCAGGACTGTGTCCCTGATGAAGTTTACAGAAGCATATTTGAGCAGGGCAGCGTGGAACACTGTTCAGTGGTTTGGAATGAAGGTTTACTGCCACCCCTCGCAGCTGATTGATCTGTGGAAGGATAGAGCAGAACGCACAGGAAAACTGAGTCTTCCTGCCTAAATGTTCCACATGTAGCAGGAGAGAGACACTCGTTCCGTATCTTGTTCTCGGTGTGTAGGTGCTTCGCATGGTTCCGAGGTCAAAATGCAAGCCCTCTCTTTGTGTTGTAGACGTTGAAATAAAGCGCTGTTAACGCCAGACATGGTGGTAATTTGGTTCTTAAAGTAACTGGTTTGTGCACAGTGGGGGAGATCATCCTCACACTAACTCCTGCTGTAGTTTCCTCCTTTAAAGGCCTTCACCCAGGCCAGATTCACCCTTCTGCACTTGATTTCATCATACTTAAGGTAAATAAGTTAAATTAATTGACACTTGGAAGCTGCCTCAAGACTGTCTTAAATTTGCGTGTCTGAAACCTGTGCATCTTAACTATAGCCCCTTTTTTTTACCAAAATTGAGCTATTTTTATTTCTTTAGATCTTCCCCTTCCTGCATATCTCTTCTGTTAGTTCTGAAGCGCTTGTTGGCTGGATGGCAGCCCGTGTGCTCAGTACAACTTGCTGGAAACACTGGAATATCTCTTCCCGCAAACCTGATGCTGCAGAAGCCATTTGCTGGTTCTTGCCATCAGCTGTTTTCAGACGCATCTTGGGCTCCTAATGTAGAATTATGGAGTGGTTTAGGTTGGAAGGGACCTCAAAGCTCATCCAGTTCCAACCCCTGCCACAGGCAGGGACCCCTTCCACTAGAGCAGCTTGCTCCAAGCCCCTGTGTCCAACCTGGCCTTGAACACTGCCAGGGATGGGGCAGCCACAGCTTCTCTGGGCACCCTGTGCCAGCGCCTCAGCACCCTCACAGGGAAGAGCTTCTGCCTTACATCTGACCTAAATCTCCCCTCTTTCAGCAGGGTCATGGTGAGTTTCTCATCAACAGCACCCCCAGGTCTTTTTCATCAGGGCTGCTCTCAAAATGTAATTCTGGATAAGCAGAGAGCAATCAAGCACAGCTTTGTTCCCAGGCGCCTTCTCACTCACCATGCTTCTGGAAATGAGATTAGCAGGAGTGAACGTTACTGTTGACTTTCCTTTCTCTCTCTGAAATCAAACACCTCCTTCTCAAAAAGCCAATAAAACCATTACCACACCATTACTTTCTGGCCCTGGACCAGATATGATCTCATTCAGCTTTGTGCTTAGTAGGGGTTTGTTAAATCTAAGCCTGAAGGTGGCAGGTCCGATTCTTGAGCTTCTCCATGTGCCTGGGATGCAGGTAGCACTGATGGGTGCTTTTGCAACAGATGCCCTTGCTGGGGTGGGACTTTGGGTTATGAATGCAGAGTTCACTGTACTACAGTGATATAAATCTCTGGATGGAATTAGAACCCCTGAAGCACTGGAGAAAACTCAGTGTCTGAACCAGTGCTGGAGGCTTTGTGCAGATCCCCCTTGTGCGAAGGCCCCCAGCTCACATTTGCAGACTCAGTAGATGGATTTCTGAGTTAAGGGGCTGTTCAGAATGGTCTGGTCCTTTCCCTCAGAGGCTGCCAGGCTCCCTGATGTGCTGTGATAATCCACATCTTCATCTGCCAGAATACATGGAGCATATTTAGATGTGGTGCAGGGAGTCCATCCCTTTCTGGGCGGCTTTGGCGAGCCATGGCTCTGCCCTGTCACTGACACATCGTGCTTATGTTTAGCTGCTGAGCTATGACCATGATGATGAAAATGAGGTGCACAGGCAGCAGAGGTGTTTCTAGTTCCTGGTCCTTGCTTTTCTAGACTGTCACCATTACCATTATGTATGTTTTTGGAGGTCCATAGGTGAGCATGCCATGGTAGACCTTCCAGTAAGGGCGGGCACTGCAAGTACCCATGACTTGCTTGGGTAGTGACACTTAAGCTTTGCCCAGACCCTTGTGCTGCTCCAACAGCTTTTGGGTTTGAGTTTGTTGATCTGATTTTACCGCCTTGGCTGGTTTGCACTGTGATGTTTGCTTTAGACTTTGATTCTTCATGATGCTCTTCAAAAGAGCCTTAAGAAGCCTTTAGAAACAGGCTTTATGCCTCCTCTATCCCATCCACCTCCCTTGCAGCTTGGGAAAGAAGAACAGGGATGTATTTTTAGAAGATGGCATTGGAAAAACATATATCTAAAGCAGTTGGAAGGAGGTGTCCTTTTAAAGCCCCAGGCAGGATGGTTGTGGCTATTTAGGGTACATTCCTGCAGTGGGTTCTGTTACCCATTGCTAACCACAGTGAGACGATGCGCTCCAGTCCCTGCATACAAACCCTGGCATCACCTTTTGGACCTTGCACGTGGGTAATGCACAACTGATTTACCATTAGCACTGAATTATGGATTAACTTGGCCCTGGAGAAAACAAACGTTTCAAGGAAGAGCAACAGCAGCACTAAAATTAATGGGCAAGAGAGGTAATGAATCCCTAGTCCCATTCCCCCCAAAATAAGGAATATAAATATAGTAAGAGAGTGCTTCAGATTCAATTTAATTAACCTTTGGTTAATAGGTTAAATAATGAAGCTGAATTAATTAAGTAGAAAGGAGTTAAGTGTTTAGCTAAACTGGATCATCTTGTTCCACAATAGAGCAAGTACTACTGTCAGGTTTTTATTGTCACTGTAGGATGGGATTTATGATCTGACATTATTATTGTTCTGAGTAATGTGACATAAAAAGAGATGAAAACAATCAGGCAGCGTAGAGGATGTGTGCTCTGTGTATTAAACTGACTGCTAATAGCTAAAGTGAAAGGAGAAAGTAGACATATTATAACCAGTGATAAAAAGTAGCCGTAATGAAGATTAGTAAGCTGTAATGAGTATTAGTATCTTTTAAGCATAAAGCCAGATCCATTTTGTAACCAGAGGGATCTGACCAGGAATTCTGTAGTGATCTTGACTTTGGTCCAGCTGCACCAGGAAAGGAGGGAAAGGGAAGAAGTCCTCATTTGCAAAGTGATTTTTCAAGTTTCTCCAGCCTTGTGAATCCTCCAGTTTTATTTTACTTAGTACATCAGCAAAAAGGCGACCTATTTCAGCTTGGAGATGAACCTGAAGACTATAAATTGCCATTTTCTTGTACCCAAAACACGTAAAGTTTATTCATTTCCCTTTCCAGTAACTTTAATGGGAGTTTTATCATCCTGGATACAGAAGAGTTAAAAAGCCTGTATATATTTACAGGACTTATCTTGAATCTCATGTGGGATTTATCTCCTGACAGGACACTATAAATTACCATGAAATCCCCTAATGAAGGCTGTTCTGTAGAAAAGCCTTTGTAACATCATCTCTGTAGGAAAAGTGATACCAGATACGTCTTGTTTTCAGTCCAATAGACTTTCCTGTTTGTAGCGACTGACACAAACACCTTTGAAAACAATGTTGGATCATTGAGGCAAGTGTAGTGAGTAAAGGATCAGTGACTTGGGTTGGACTATGCAAAATTACATAAACTGCTATTTTTAGCGAACAAAGAAACACCTTTGTACAAGGATGTCTTAGTGCAAGGTAAGTTTTCTAACATAAATCATCATCCATGTTGGAAAGCTGAATTCCACAAGTGATTTATGTTGTTTCTGGAAATCAGTAGCAGAAAGGTGCAATTCAGTGGAATTAAAAAGCTACTACTAAGCCAACCATAAACCTCCCTACGCTTTAATATCCAAGTTCATTTGGGATGTTTAATTAGGAGTATTCTTAATCACATTGAATTCAAACTTCATTTCATGAATGATATGTGCACATAAATCTGATTAGGCAAAACACATCACCAAGGCCTAAATGCCTGCTCATTGTAATGTTCCTTTTATCATGCACCAAACTCTAAATTCCCTCGTGGTAGTCTTGCAATGCAGGATTAATTAAAGCAAATACTAACATCAAGGATCTACTTACAACTGTCTCACAGGTTTGTGTCATCTCTTACCAAGGCTATTACTGGAATGCCTTATAGATCAAATCATTAATTAAACATTAATTCCCCTAAAACATTTCCAAAGCCTTAATTTCAGTAACTCGTGAGTTATTTGCCTGCTGCAGCGCAGCGTCTTCTTGTAATCACTGTTTAATAACCTGCACAGATTAATCCCAATGTAATGTGTTTGGCAGTGACAAATGAAATTGATAAGCCCTGCTGTAAATCTAGGGGCTGCACTGTGATGCTTTTGCTATCTTAATTGCTTGCTGGAAGAAAGACAGCCTTGCCTTCCTCTAGTGCTTACATGAGTGTTGGTTTTGAAAGGGAGTTTATCATTCTCATCTTTATGTATAGCTTAATGAGGGATGGAGCAGATCAGTGAAGAATCAAATCCAACAGCTTGTAACTGATGTAATGTATATATTAATGTATAATTGAAGAGCAGCTCATGGGGCAGGTTGGGTTGATGTGTTGATACCTCCAATGTCCATAGGTTTGGGCTTCATTCCCAGTTCCTTGGATGCTCTGTCCAACCAACACCATCCCTGCAGCAGCTGGTGGGCTATCCAAGGGCCGTCCCCTTTATATCGCTTCTAAAGCAAATGAGCAAGAAGCTTTTAGCAGATTGAACACCCTCACTTGTAGAGGAATCATTGGAAGAATCCTCTCTGCTCATAAGATTGGTAAAGCTGGAGATGCCAGCAATGTTTTGTCACGTGTGTTACTCAAAATCACATCAAAACGTTATTCCCAGGTTTGGTATTTTTCAATCTATCCCTCCTGGAAAATGTCTTCCCTTCACTGTTTTACAACTAAATCAGCTGTGGGTCCTGTAAAAAAGATACAAAAGTTATGACGTATATTTTCTGGATGTCAAACAGACATGTTTTTAAGCTCCCAGCTGGGCAGCACTTCACATGGGGGATCATTGGCCATTTCTATATGGGGTTAGTGTTTTAACACAGCTCTTACACTCAGCTTCATGACAGTGAGGCAGTCACTAAGTGCTTGAGTTCTTATATCTTGTTTCAGTCATCTAGATTGAGAACATTTTGGTTATAAAGGAACAAATCAGCTTTGTTTGATCAGTGATCACTTAGAAAACTTGAACATTTCTGAATTAAATAAACTGACTATTCAGTAAATGAGAGGGAAAAGAAACCTGGTACCTTCATAGTCTTTGTTTAACTAATGTAAGAGAAACATGTAAGATACAACCAGTGTGAGAGAGAGTCCATATGATGCAGTTGCTT